ACTACCGTTATGCCGACAATCCTTCCAACCACCGATCCCCGTCTCCTGAGCACATTTCTAACACGACCAACAATACATGTGGCTCCCGACCATGCTCCTCTTCGCCACTCCGACGCTCTATTTTACCACTTCGGCCAGTCTCTCAACTGTCTGCCCAGCGATCGGAAAACTAAATAGTGCAGTTTTTTGGAGGGAAAACTGCATCGCGTCGAAATGACCCAAGTCCCCCTGAACGACTGTCAAACATGTTGTTGGTGACTGTGCAAGGTGTGCGGGTGTTGGCTTTGTTGGACACGGGAGCAACTATTTCAGCTATGCGTGCCGACTTGTGTTCTCGATTGCGGAAAGTGAAGACACCCTACCTTGGATCATCTTTGATTGGGGCCAATGGAGCAATAATTAGACTATCGGTCCAATGTACAGCGCGTGTCTTCATTGATGGTATTCGTCATCACATCACCTTTGCTGTCTTAATTTCGTGTGCTCATGAACTAATTTTAGGTTGGGGCTTTTTCTCATCAGCATCTGCATTTATTTCTTGCCATCAACGTGTAGTCCAGATGGCCGAGACTTATCACTGCAGCGAACGCATTGACGAGAAACCTCTGCGTTTTTTCACAGCTTCCAATTATATACTGCTCCCTGGTCAATAGCAACTCACCACCATCTCTTCTCCGTATATTGCCAATGGTGACGTCCTTATCATCTCTTCCAGCCACTGTCTAGCCCGCGGCGTTATACTCCCCTCCAGCCTGGTGCAGATCAAAGACAGTGCTGCGATAATCCTTGGCCTGAACCATACCCAGAGCCTGTACTCCTACCCCAATGCCCTGCAATGTCATGTTATGTGGATACTCAACCGGCACCTTTGGTCTCTCTCGACGCCTTGCCAGCTCAGACACAACAGGGCCAGCCTGTTACTTCCTCCTCCTTTGCTTCCAGGATAAATCCTGACCTTCCTGCTTCTCAACGTGAGGCATTGCTAAATTTGCTAACGAAACACCAGGCCTCCTTCGACGCCATTGCTTCGGCACTAGGACAGAACTTAGTTGCGCATCATGGCATAGACACTGAAAATCATTGTTGCAAGTCGTCGTCCCCTACCGAGTCTCCTTAGCCGAGCGCAAAATCAAGGAGAACGTGACCGATATGCTAAAAAGAAACATCATACGACCCTCTGCCAGCTCTTGGTCATCCCCCGTTGTGTTGGTACAAAAGAAGGATGGATCAGTACGATATTGCGTTGATAACCGCGCTCAACAAGATTACTCGAAAGGATGTATATCAGATGCCCCGAATAGATGATGCACTTGACTCATTGCAAGGCGCCTAATACTTCTGCACCCTTGACCTTCGGCATGCAACATCTGCGCCTGCGAGGAAACGCTTGAGCACATTCTATGTCATTGCCCAGCATACCAGACCGAACGACGTATTATGGAAGCCAAGCTCTGTCAGCTGGATTCACGGCCGCTTACAGAAGAGAAGATCCTGGGACCTTGGCCGACGGCTTCCCATACGCGCAAAGCCACGAAAGCCCTCTTGTACTTTTTAAGGACCACCAAACTTCACGACCGCTTGTGAAAGAACTGTGCAAGGCCGTGCTGTGTAGTCTCGAGCTGACTATTTATGCTTCTCTTTCTTACTCCTCTTCTTTTCTGTCTTTTTCCTTTCTATTATTCCCTTTTTCCCCCACCCCAAGTGTAGGGTAGCCAACCGAGCCAAGCTTGGTTAACCTCTCTGCCTTTCCTCTCTATTTATCTCTCTCTCTCTCTCTTGACCTTCGGTCCGGATATTGGCAAAATCCAATGAATGGGCAGACAAAAAAAAAGACCGCTTTTTTTACGCCGGACAGTCTTTACGAGTTCAACGTAATGCCATTCGGCCTATGTAAAATGCCATTCGACATTTGAAAGGATGATCGACACTGTTCTTCGTGGCCTCAAGTGGAAAACTTGTCTATGCTACCTTGATGATATTGTCGTGTTTTTTTCCACTTTTGCTGATCATTTGCAACGCCTAGATGAAGTGCTCACATGCCTCTCCAATTCTTAACTTCAACTAAACACAAATAAGTGCCATTACGGTAACACAGCTATAAAAGTTCTGGGACATCTCGTTAGTAAAGATGGCATTCAGCCAGATCCAGACAAAATTTCTGCAGTACTCAATTTTCCGCGCCCCTTTTGTTCCAAAGAACTACGCAGTTTTCTTGGACTCTCATTGTACTTTCGCCGCTTCATTCGCAACTTTGCCACTATTGCCACTCCTCTCCACAACTTCCTTGCTAGTATTGGTTCCACTGATTGGAATGATCAATGCATTTCAAGAACTCAAGCACCTACCACCCACTGACATCCCCACCGGTGCTTTATTTTTTCGATGACAAGGCACCTACGTTATTACACACAGACTCTAGCAGACAAGGAATCGGCGCCATACTCCTTCAGCGCGACCATGCCTTTTGCGAGAAAGTTGTCGCGAATGCAAGCCGCTCCGACTTCTGCAGAGAAGAGGTACTCTATAACCGAGCAAGAGTGCTTGGCTGTTGTCTGGTCCATTCGAAAATTTCGTCCGTATCTATATGGTGGACATTTTACTGTTGTGACAGACCACCATGCTCTTTGCTGGTTGTCGACAATCAAAAACTTGTCGGGGCGATTTGGCCGCTGGATTCTCCGGTTAAATCATACGACTCCGACGTCATCTACAAGACCGCAAGACAACACCAAAATTCCAACGCTTTGTCATGATGCCCTTTGCCGCAGTCTTTGGCGAACGTCACATCCCCTTGTCAAATTGGCTATGCGGAGGACACCTCGTCGATATCATCCATTTCTTCCTTACCTTCATCCACCCGTCCTTCAGTACTTACCACTCACCAGCGAGCTGATTCTTATTGCACTGACCTCACCGGTCGGCTTACCGGTGCTTCGTCTTCCCCAAATGCCAGGCTCCGGAAACAACTCAGACTATTCAAGTTGGAGGACAATGTGCTCTACTGATACATTTTCCAGGCGGAAGGCCATCAATGGGTTCTTTTCGTACCACATGCACTACGCACTGAAGTTCTACGCGATCCACTAGACGACCTGACGTCAGGCCACTTGGGTTATTGCAAAACCTACGAGCGCATCCACAGTAGATTCTTCTGGCCAGGTCTTTCCACGATGGTAGCCAAGTATATTGCCTCGTGCGCACTTTGCCAACACCGCAAGCGGCCCACTACTGCTCCAGTCAGGACCCTACAACCACTCCCTTGACCAGCAGAGCCGTTCTTTGTCGTCGGAATTGACCTCTTCGGGCCCCTCCCAACTACATCAGACGGCAAGAGATGGATAGTCACTGCGGTTTATCACTTGACCTGGTACGCTGAGATGGCCTCGATCACTTCAGGAACTGCTTTTTAATGCCATTTACCTACGTCACGGGGCCCCTCGTGTTCTTTTGAGCGACCGAGGGAGGCATTTCTTTCAAGCACGCTCAGTGAAGTTCTTCAAGCATCAAAAACAGTTCATAAAACAACGTCGAGCTATCACCCACGAACCAATGGCTTAACGAAGAGATTTCATCGCACACTGTGCGACATGCTGTCTGTCTATATCCGACCTGACCATCGCAACTTGGGAGCCATTCTTCCCTTTCTCACGTATGCATATAATACGTCAGTTCAACGAAACACAGGCTATCCTCTATTTTTCCTAGTATACATATGCCAACCGACATCACCACTCGACGTTTCTTTCTTTTCTGACCCCGTCAACTCTTCACCATTCGTTTGGGACCAATTTCTGTCCCATGTTGCTCAATGCCATCATCTTGTCCGTATAAACACCGAAGCTAGCCAAGAAGATCACAAACATCGTTACGATGCCACTCACCGCATCATTCTCTACCGCCCTGGTGACGTACTTTTGTACATTTCTGCACAAACGCCTGGCTTATGTGAGAAGCTTGAGTCACGCTATCTTGGCCCCTACAAAGTTGTCAAACAGACTTTACCGGTGAACTACCATGTCACACCTGTTCACGCCCCCACTGACCAACGCTGCCGCGGGACAGAGATTGTGCATGCTTCGCGTCTCAAGCCCTATCGTATGCAATCCACAGCGTAATTCGCGGCCAGGCTAGCCGCTTCCGTCGACGGGGGAAATTAGTGCAAGAATTCATTGCACTTCATCTTCCTCATCTGTAAATAACCATAATCAGTCTTCGCGTCATTCCTCCTCCTCTTTGGCGCCATCTTGCTGTTGTCTGAATAAAGCGTCAGCTGAACCGTGGTATTTCAATATCTTAAAGTCGACCAATAGTGGAATCTGACCATCTCCTTAATAGCAGCATTGTCTTTTTGCACTTCGTCTGATCAGAGCGACGAGGTGCCCAAGTTATCAATGGGACCAACTGGCGTCAAGCACTGAATTATAAAACTGCATAAAATAATGTAGAAGAGCTCCAAAAAAGTGGCCTTGCAATTCAATTGCTCGATGCCATTACCCTCATATGTCCTCTGTGAAGTAGCATATAGTTACTGTTCTCCAGTACCCTTGACCAGTCTGTTTTCATGAGCACTGAAAATAGCAGGCTTTGAAATCGTGGGTATACAACGTTTTGTAGTACGCATGCTATTTTACAAAAATAACATGTGTGCCAAAGAGAGTGCATGACGCATGCACAGTGGCAATAAATACAAAATTTGGCACCTATATATAAATACCTAATACTACAGGGGAAACTCAACAACGAATTCATAGCACCCACCAACTTTTTTCCTCGAAAGACTGCAGAAACGACATCTTGGCCGAAGCTAGGGTACAAAACCTGCCTTTCTTTCCCCAAATGCAGCAGGCTTCCCTTCTTGATGCGAGTGAATGTTCATTGCAAAATGTACGATCCATTATACTACTAACATTACTTACTGTCTAATACGCTGCTATCAATACATTGCCGTCCGTGCAAAACTGGCTTATTTCTTCTTGCTATAAAGCAAACGATCCACAACATTCATGTGGTAGGTCTTTATCAAACCATCAGTTGATCACACATTTAAGTATAAAAAGCTGACAATCAGAAACTGTACAAATGGTTACACAACTTGCAGGGTACAATCCTCCAGCATGTTCATATAAAGCACAAACACACACAGTGCAGACAGCTCACACAAGTCAAATGTACAAGAATGGACTCGTAACTTTCTTCACACCAAGAACCGAAAATTTTACTACAAATGACGGTATAAAAACCTTACACACATAAAACACATCTATAAGTACAAAAATAATACATGAACAAGAAATCTAGAAAGGATGGCAATCTTTGGAACAGTGAAAGCAATTATCCTACTGGCTGCCATCAGACATTCAATATTACATGAGGCATCAGAAATATAGGTACACACCACTTTGCACAAGCTAGATGCACACCTTGGCAGGGTTCCTGAATACAGTGAGAATGCAGGTGCTCATCTTGCACCTTCACTCGGAAAACAATGCAAACAGGCCGCTTGGCCCAGCTGAAAAAAAGATGTAGTCTTTTAACAAACGATTTGCTCCTTCTGTACTGTATGGCCACTCTGCCGCTGTATGAATCAACAGCCTGGCAAAGAGTGCACAATTTCACACAAGTAATCAACCACTAAGTAAACTTACTTGAAATAACAATGATACTGAATAGCAAGTTTTCGTAGTCATCTCTATTCTGGATATATATGTCTTGAAGAGCCACCAGTTGTTTAGACGTAAGGAGATCAAGCAATTTATTTTTTTTACCTAAATACAACTAAACTACACAGGAAGATTGACAATAATGAACACCTTCAGCGAATTTCCAGATTCTAGACAATAAATAAACCCAGGAAGCTCACTTTAGTATGCCCATGTATCTAAAAAGCTATTGACCATGTCAAAACAAACAATTTTTTACAAAAAGTAAACATGTGCAGGCTTTTTAGAAGTTAGCTATGTGATCTACCATAACTGAAGAAGACGCACTGAGATCATGTCTTACTGTAATCTTAGCTGCTGTGAAAACTTTGACAGAACTAAAAAATGACCATCACAGATCATGCAAAAAGAGCTCTTAAAACAATCACTGGTTATGAAGTGTAGATGCAGAATATGTAACTGCATTTTCTAATACTAATGGCTTTCTGAAAAATAGGCGCATAATTTTTTTTTTCTTTGGCCAACTACACAGTTGAAGCCATGACATACCAGCATCACCAGCAAAACTTCAAAGCAGCAGTATTACAAAGCCTGCTTCATACAAAAAATAAAAAAGAATACTGTTAACTTGAGCACTTACAAACAGAGCTTGCTTGGAATAGTACATAGAGGTACGTTCTATGTTTAAGTATGTTGTAGTCAAATGGCTGATGGATACAGCCATTGCAGACCCTTGAGAAAATATTTATGAACCAAGAATTTCTTGATAAATTCAATTTCTTTCTTCACCTACAAATTGTTGGACAGTGGATGTGCCGAAACGTTCACTCTAGCAACATTCCCTTTTCAAAGATTTCTCTTTGCTTCAAGCTTCCCTGTTCCCTGTGAATGTAACTTGAAGCCGAAGACTACAGGTCACACTTATGATAGTGAAATTTCTACCATAGTTGTAAATTTAGATTGATTTGTCAATAAGTCCAGCAATAAGTCCAGCTTTTCTTATTTTTTTTTTCTGTGAGCTTTTGCTCATAGGTGCACAATATGGTGCAAGCCATCCACCATTGCCAAGTACAAATAGCCTCATATTAACAGAGCACCAGGATGTCCCACTGGTTTCAATTAACACATAGAAGAAAACACTAGGAAAATATGAATAAAAAAAGAGAAAAGAACTGCGATGCTTGTAAAATATAAACCTAACTTTGCATGACTGGTACAAGTACATAATGTGCCTATTCAAACAAAACCTGCTTGTCCACCGTAGCTTACCCTCATTACAGGCTCAGCAACCCTTGCAGAGACATAATGACGTGGCACGCAATAAGGTGCCGGGCAAGATAACCACTTTACAACATCTCAAAAGGGACATGAAAGTGTATATGCCTATTCCAATCACGTTGAATGATTATGAGGCATGATGAGGCATGATGCATTAGTCATGAAGGCTGCCCCCTTTATATACTCTTGCACTACAGTTTGAGGCTACACCCAAGTTTCCACAAAGACTTCGTAAGACTTTTCATATTTTACCAAATTTAAAAGCAGAAAAAAATATAAAAGAAACATGTGCTGATGGAACACTATGTTATATTTACTAGGAGTGGTTGTTGATTAATTCTTAAGGCCACACTAATTATAATAGACACAAATTACCCAAAATAAATTTAGTCGTAACATCTTCTAACAAACTAAATAATAAATTCTACCAAGCGTGACACGTGGCAAGAAAAGAGAATAGAAAACAATGCACCAAAGCTGCAACCACACTGTATCTGAAAACACCTAACAGCAGTTCAAAATTAAAAGATAAAAATGAAAACAGTTGTATAGATTACTCTGGCATGGACTGTGCGTTCTCAGGTTTTAAGGCAACATACTTTGCAAAGAAAGGTAGTTCTAAAAATTACAAGAAAAAAGCACTGAATGTGGCACAACCTCCTGGTGTCCATTACGTGGCCTAATTAGGTGCTTGGCAAATAGTACCACAAATTTCAACAAACCAAGCACTACTTTCATTCCTGGACTTGTCTATCTTTTTAGATCGCACTATCGTAACAGTTAGCACTGGCTTAACTGTAAGAATTGCCACAAAAAAATGCAGCACTTTATGATGGCTGCAGCAATGCTTTCAGATAAGTACAACCTGTTGGTGATGCACCTTTCCCTGTGATACAGGAAGAAAAGGTTACTAAGGGCTGAGCGGAATGAATCCCCATAATTGTTGGCTAAGGCATCCAGAGCACATGGTCTAATGCTACAGTCAAGGCAATTGTCATTGGATAGGCACACTCAATCGACAACACACCAATGTGGTCCCACAATGTGGTCTGCAGCATAGGACTGTAATAAAAATGCGCTTAAACTCTGCCACAAAAATACATAATAAAATTGAATATTCTGAGCACAAGCAACAATGTGGATGTCCTACATTTCAGGCACCCTGCTACCAATTTTTACCAGAATACTGAAATTTGTGGGTCTAAAAAAGCCGGTATGCACACCATAGTGCAATGGACAATAGAAAGTACTTTTTCTTTTTTTTGGGCGGGGGTGGGGACAGCGCTATGAAGAATGCACCCCCGTCTTCAGAAGAAATACCCTGATGAGTTGGTAGCATTCAAGTCAGAACAAATAGTGGTTTGTTGACTATGCAATTAAGAAGAATGTGTACACTCACAAAAAAATTTTCAACACATGACTAGACGACAACGTTAACAGCCCCGTGACAATGGGGCTCAAAAGAGTGTCAACACATGCACTGGCACACCTGAATGTCACCACTGCAGTTTCAGACACCACAGCAGAACACACCTTTGATTCTTGTCTAACCAGAGCTTTGTCCAGATAAACTAAATACAGCTGAAGACATATTTAACCTAACTTGACCAAGAAATATCAGCTAGTAAAACATTTGCCATTTACGTAAAACCAATAAGAGCAACTAGTTTGGGCAGATTCTGAGTATATTTACAGTATATTTAATTTTGCAAGTGCAATGCAAAGCTGCTATAGCGACTCCAGGGAATTTCGACACAGGAATGCAACAAATGATTGTTAGGTTTAAGTTCAATCAGACAGTATGAAACCTACAGAGACCGAGCAAATATGTTTCAGTGAACAGGAGTTGCGTTTACCGAGGGGTGACCAGGGGTGCAGATGCAAGAACAAAACTAGACTTGCCAGCCAAACCGATCTTTATTACTGACACCGACGGTGACACCGGAAGTTCTGCGAAACGAGCTCTTTATGCTACCGTATTAAATGTTTACGCAATTGATGGCGACTACCAAAAAAAATCAAGCTATCTTTGTTGTGCCGCTAATGAAGTCGCTGAACAGCTGGTTACTGCTGCCTTCTTTTTGTCACTTAAGTGTTTTTAGATGTTTTTCATTCATGTCGTTCATTTTAATGTTTTATAACACATATGTCCTCTATACACTAGAAAAGAAGTTAGCATTGAGCTCATATTTGACAGACTGCAGCCCATGTTGTATGACTCATAAACCAATACAAAGACGATCTAGCGAATAATTTCGAAGTGCAGTGTGTAAGCGAGTCTCATCTTGGACTAGAACAGCATTTTGTCTTTGCCCATAACTGCCTTTTTATTACATTTTCTCAGTGCCAAATGAAATTTCCAGGCATCTTAATAACAAGTAGGTACTGAAAGGAAGATCTATTCAAATAAGGAGCTGTAGGACTAGAAAAGTATTCATTAATTATCGTAACATCTGAAGCATCTTTCTGTAAACAAGTATAAGGAAGTATACTGTCTTTCATAAGGCCGCACTAACACTATTTCATACATAACTCGTATCGGCGATGTCAGCAGTATGCAACAACTGAAGAAGTGACAGTCAAGGTGCTGCAGTGCCTGTGAGACAAACATTTATCCTTAATGTCAGGCAACAGAGTTATCGATAATAATAAGGATGGTCTCATAAATAGATGATGCATGTGACAATGATGCAGGTTGCATAAATGTGCAAACAATGTGTAATACAAAAAAAAAGACACTGAAGGAGTATTTCTGGCAGACACATACATGATTGTAAGCTTGAAGCCAGTGAGGCAGACGTGTTAAAATGTGAGTTAAAAATTAGAAAGTATATGAATGGTGCGACACTGAAGCTGCTCTTATGTCCCATCCGTTTGGGCAGTGAATGATGGATGTGAGGTACATGTGCTGTGTAACATGCACTCACTCCTTTGGACAAGAAGTGAACAAAACACTTTAAAAAGAACAATAGCTCCCTGTCAAAGCCATATTTTGAAAATCAAAATATGGCAGGTCCCCTCCACACTGTCAAGGTTGTAAATGCAATTGGGCATTAAGTGAAAGCAGATCAGTCATGTAACGCTTACAAACTAAAATTGGGCATTTGCATTCCTGCAGCACTGGCATTACTCCTGAGACTAAAGCACACAGCCAAACAGCTTTCTTTGGCATATTCATGGGAGTTCAGTGATGATGAGAGCACTGTTGAATATTTCTACAGGAGCCCCTAACGACAGTCTCGGAGAGCACTTGCCGGGCTCACAACAGACACGATGTCAAGGTACAAAAATTTTCGCGAGTAGCTGTGACACTGAACTCTAGCATAGCACACGGTAGCAGTTTGCACATCCCTTTGCCAAAACAACACTGACATGCAAATGTAAACTTGTACTAGAAAAGTAGAAAACAGGAAGGCAGTTCAAGTCGCTAAAAGTTGGGCCAAGTTTCCGCTGCGCATGCGCAATGCTCTGGCAGGACTACTGCGATGGCTGCAAATCCTTTCCAGTCTCTCAGGTCTCAAAGTGTTTGTATATCGATGTGACATAACCCATGATTGACTGCCAATCCGGGCGTTCCAAGCAGATAAGTTCATTGACATTCTGAAAGAATATTAGGCACTCTAAAATCAACCCACAGCTGCACATGTTAGCTGAGAATGCAATATTCAGTAATTTCATCATAGGACAGAGTGAACAGATCTACTTAGATAGCCAACACAAAAATACCTTTATTATTCAGCAGCTTCTCACAATATTCACAGTTTATTGGTGTATAAGAGAAAAAAATTCCATTCATAAAGAAGTATTTTAACCATGTTTCTCTTTCATGAGCCCTTTCCACAGTTAAATATTGAGCTGGCTTGAACACGAGCACCAACAAATACTATAGCAAACAGAAACCCGCAGTATATAACTATTTTACAAATACGTCATGGCAAAAGGCTTTGCGGTGATAAATATAATTGGTTCAAATTTATTTTTTTAATACTTCAGATATAAGACCACACACAGTTCCCTACAAATTACTCAGATTTCCCTACAAATACCTCAAACTAAACAGTGCACTTGTCTTTTGAGCTATCTTTAGATAAGATGTGCTATGTATGTGGTCATTTCCCACAGGCATGTTTACCCAAACCTATCTTCTAACCCAATGAAGATGGCAGAGAAGCTTGGCACTCACCAAAGTGCTTGGAATCCCTGCAGATTCTGCTGCCTCAAATGCAATACTGAAGTTTCTTCTCTGAAAAGAAGAAAGCATGAAACATTGAAACAGCACTTGTCAGGAGGCTTGGCATTAATTAACACAGCGAGATGTATTTTATGTATAATTTATGAAGCTTTACAAGCAAAGCCATTATAAAATTATAGGCACACCATACTAGGGGACTGCAAATTAATTTTGAGCTCCTGCAGTTCTTTCCCTTGCAGCTAAATCAAAGTACAGCCACACATTTTTTTTTTTAATTTAAGCGTGCGAGCTTTGACTACAGAAATTATAAATGCCACGCAATGGAGCAGAGCGGTAAAATGAACGAGACTACTAGGCACATCTGTATGATGGGCAGTCCCCTGCAACTGTCTCAGAAGCTCCCCCCCCCCCCCCATTTCTTTCAAGCACCATTATTATCCTTTCTTTTCTGAACGCTGTCAGAAAGCTATAAAGAAAGAAAAGGTCCGTAGTCACACTCGAGATGGAAAGGATGTGCTATACACCCGCTAGTTAGGTGTACTGCATACGTATATTGTGTATCTTGGTCTTTGTCCTGTAGCTTATGTAGCCCTTCCCCGAGGCAAACAAGATATCTGCTGCTGAAAGCCAATGTTGAAAGCCAAAAACAGGCCAGAAAAAGGAAGAACAATAGAGCAGCTTGTGTTGGTTTTATTTCGCATAACAACCTGGCAGACTTAAATTCCACTGCACTCTTCGCAGCAGCCATGCACGTATTCTCGGTCGTTCCACTGCTGCACTTCGTCGTACTGTGTTTATCAATTTGGCTGTCGACGCTACCACATTGTGTTTTAAAAAATGGGTAGGTGTACACAGGCGTGCTTGCATATCACCCTCACTGAAATGTGGCCACTGTGGCTAGGAACCAAACCCAGCGGCAGCAACACCAGTGCCTTCATAGCGATGGCAAACTGTGCTTTGCTATGATATCTCACATAGGAAAGTCTTGATTTACCTGATACCCTAACTTCAATAGTTTTATCAGGTTCACTTGGTCACAATTTCTTTTTTCGTATCTTTCTTATCTCTCTACTGAAATATTTCAGTCCCTTTTCCTATTGTTAAACAGAGTAGCATGCCAGTGATATATAGACGCTGGCAAAAATAGGTTTTTCTTAATAAAGAGTCTCTCTCTGTCTCTGTGCTATGTTACATTGAGGCAGCACAACAATTTCGACATACTCAATGTGGCATCTTTGCTCTAGTGTATCTCTCCGCTCAATACTACAGCTCGACTCAAGAGAGTCTGTGGCAGTGCTATACTTACGCAGAAGCAGTGAACATGTACAAGTGATCATTGGCACTGTATTTGCAAAGTTGTTTGTACGGCAGAAAAACAGGCAGTAAAGAAGTGCTCCAACTTGCCGTCATGGCTACTGGTGGCGCTCACTGACGCTCCCCAGGTTACAGGCACATATATACCCCATAAAGTGGATGGGAGGATAGCAATCACGGTAGCTCAGACAGCAGAGCATCGGACGAGTCATTCATAGGTCGCACGTTGCTTGGTCCCTGCCCACGGCAAGTTATCTTTTCGTCCTTCACATTCACTTTACATTTACTACAAATAACATGTGCTGTACTTTCCTTGGCAGTGTTGTCTGCTAGTTCTCAATAATATTGTGTCTAACAAAAAAAACGAGCCCTTAACATTTTCACTTCCTTCTTCAAGTCGTTTGTGTTATATTAGCATCATCTTGAGTTGTTTGTCATATTACTGTAGTTTTTCGTAAAACCCCACATAATGAAAACAAAGAAACAGTTCTACATAGATAAAGACAGTCCTCACTCATCCAGCAACATCTGCTGCACGAGAAGCATTCGCACAGAGGGGCACATACCTTGTCCTTGCTATCAAGTTGGTCATAAGGGATCTTGTCCCCAAGGTAAGTGTGCAAAAGAGCACAGAAGGCTAGTCCATCATTCCAACTACTGCTGAAATTGGTGATGTCTATGTTCTGGTGATGAGAAAAAAAAAGAGCAATAGCTGACATAACATGAAAAGAAGGACACGAAACACATTACATGTGAGGCATTTCTGCTTTTCACACACCTACAAATAAAGCGCAGCAATCGTTTCATGCATTCATCGAGGTACTGTTTGCAGAGAGACTCGGGGAAAACTGTGATTGTTCAGGGATACATGAAACTTTGATGACTTGGCAGTCATTAACTTAAACCTTCGAGATCATTGAACCACAGCAGGTGGTCTTATCAAACATTTGTGGGAAAATGTGGTAAGCACTACTCAAGCTGATATTGGTACACATCACATCAATTGACTAAGCACTACTTAATTTGATATTGGAATGCATCATACAGGCCGTGCATGGCACTTAGGAACCGAGCAGTGTGCAAGAGGTGCACTGATACACCTATATTGTCAGCAACAGCACAAGGATGTTAGCACTATCCAAAGCACACAAGGATGCTAGCACTATCTAAAGCAACCCATAGCAGAGGATGAAAAAAAAAATGATGGCAGTTTTTGAGCAGAATTGATCAACCTCTGGGCAAAATTGAATCTGTCTGCGCTGCTGGCAATGCTGCTTTGAAAAGGATGAATTATAAAACAGAATATACACCCGACTTTACAGAAAAGAATAGGCTGCAAATTGGAGGTCATTTAGCCATTCTGTAAGAAAAGCTGATATTCTATTGTACAAGCATAGCTAACGCCTTAATTTCAACCTGATATCTTTCCATTTCGAGCTCAGTGTTGCCCACTTGAAAAGGCTATGAGTAAAGTCAGTTCGAAAGAACACTATTAATTGTTGCCAGCTCACCTTGTAGCCCATAGTCTTGTTCTGGCACCACTTGAGCAATGCATTGCGCTTGGATCCCCCTCCCTTGACCAGTGACGCAAGTGGATCTTTCTTCTCAAACGACAGGTCGCTGGAAGTGTGCAAGCTACATAGCAACACCAGTCAATTAATCAATCAGCCTTTATCTCCCTTCGCACATGAGCAAAAAATAGCAGCCACAAAAAATCCGCTGAGAAACTTGCCATGGCAAGTACTAACCAGTGCTTTGAACACAACTCGCTTTGACGCATCAAAAGCAGGGTGCCGATTCGCGAAGATGGGCTGACGACGAAAATGAATTCAAGTTTTATACAGCAGCCTTATTCATAAAACCACTGGACTAAAACCGATTTTAGATTCACATAGTACCGTAATTAGGACTCAAATCTGGTATCATTAGAACTATCCATTTTGTATTTCTCATCATGAACCTAAACCTGAACACAAAAGAAAATTATTATATTAAACCAGCAAGATGTGCTGAAGATTAGTGCCACCTTATAAAAGCATGGTTGCTTCAGTTTAATATTACAAGTCAGAAATCAGCTCAGGGAAGTGTTTACCTGATTTCAAGTGCACAAACGCAACATTCATGCGAAAATCAATCTTACATGTCGGTGGCTGTACAGTATTGCTGGAGCCCCTAGATTATATGAAGCAGCCCACTGTGGTGAAGCTGCCTAGCAAAACTGATTTCAGGCTGATTAGCTTATGGCTACATTTAAGCCAGATCCTTCTGTGATAACTTCATAAATAATATTAACAATCTTGGAATCCTCATGTGCAACTGGAAAGAAAAACAATTTGCTATTTTAATGGCTCTTTTTCATTGGATATGAATGCTGGTTTTTATTTTTCTTAGCCAAAAAAAATCATCACTGTTACAATAATACAAATGCTATAGTTCTTCGGGGCCAGATATTGTATGCCCAACCTCATGGTGACCATGTAATGCCTTGCAGCTTGTGCCTCTATATACAAACTGCCCAAGCCAAGCACATCCTCAGTTAATCTCTAATTGCAACACAATTTCTTAAAACTGGGTACACACTGGTAATGCACAGTGTGACTTCCAATGAGTATGCTTTTATAAAAATCTTTGAAAATGATAAAATAACAGCACAGCAATGCACCATGCAATATTTGTTTCTCGCAGTCCAGGCTGTTAATCCTTTTTTATCTATTTCTCCTTCGCTTTGCGCTTAGGAGAACTTTTCAAGGCAGATATCTAGCAAGGGTGTTAGAGAGGAGAGGTAAGACTGTGAAGTCACCACTGCTTTCTCTGCGTGCATGCACTAGCTTTTGCTATGATGTAACTCATAACCATGAAACATTACCTAATGACTGACATCTACGGTCTGTTGCACAGCCCTATCCAGTCATCAGTTTCAAAAAGCATTGCAGTGTCCCACTAAGTTTGCCAGTGATTTCACAAGCTGTTTGTCAAGTCATAGGGGGAGCGCAGTAAAAAGCGAGCCACATTATGAGCTCCCTGCCAGATGAGCTCAAAATACTTAGCGCACATATTCGAAGCATCACGTGCAGATTACAAACAATTCACTATCAAGTATGAAAAGTGTTGCTCGCTTCTAGAACTGTGAAATGCACCAATGTTGCATGAGTGCCAATTCAAAAAGCAGTGCTCATATAATTTAATTTCAACAACGAAACCCCAGTAGTTTGGGACTACAGCGACACACAACAGTTAACAGTATTTACTTGCATAATAGGCACACTTTTTTCGCTCGAAGTACGGGGTGCGCCTATTACACAGGGAGAAATTTCTGAAAATTTTATTTCCGACTACAGCACAGACCATTGATAACGACTGTCGCCGAGGTCACAAACATCCACACTACAGGCGGAACAACCTTCTTCATAGGCTACACTAGCAGAAAACATGTTGAGAGCATGCAGTCCCGCATGTCCAAAAATCAAGGCATGCATCACGGTGGGCATTCAAATTTCCAAAAATTAACATTGAAAGATCTACATTATCATCAAAATGAATGCGGAGAAGAAAAAAATCGCCAGGCCTGCACGGAACGTGCAGCACTCTTAGAGTAAAAGCTCGAACAGCGGCCTTTCATAGCCTTTTTTTGACACTCCTCAGGTAGCTGCTGCCGGCACACTTGCAGGGTACACGCTACGACATTAATCATTGTGTAGTAGGCAGGCATTCATCATGCCATCTTTCGCCATTGTTCGAAGAAACGTGGTTCCCAGTGCACATCTGCAAGAAACATTGTGCAATTTTTTTATGCTGTGGCTGATGACGATAAAGAATTATGCCAGCAGCTTTTGAAATCCTCAGGATCCCCCACAGTGGGTATGTGCCACAGTTAATAGGTGAACAAGATCAAGCTTTTGTAAAGATTTGGAGCAATCAATGACCTACTCATAGCACATTTCGCATTATGCAACACCTGGTCTTTCCTTTATTGTTCTAAAATGCTTTATTATACTAATATTAAGCCGATTCCTTTCCTGACTTCAGGTGTGCCTAAGGCCAGTTTGCAAGGGTGTTCCAAGCAGCAGCGTGGGTCAGTAGTAGAATACTGGGCTGGCACGCAGGAGACCCAAGTTCGAATCCTATTGTGTCTTTAGTGTTCTTTATTTACAGAGTTTTTTTTTTCGTCTTTCGTGCGATAGAGGTTACAAACACCAGCGGCGGGGAACAACTACGACCGCACGTGACCTGTGTTGTGATCTCATAACAGCTTTCGCTGCAAAATATGAAAAGGGAGTGCCATCGCAAAAATTCGCCAATTACATTTCGTGCCACCTGGATTAGGTGCATCATCACGATCGAAGTTTTGTGCGCTGAACGATACGGATCGTACGATTTCACGGGCTCACACCCCATATCCAAAGCCTACCATCAAATCGCAAACCACCATTCGAGTATTACAAGTGCCACCCACACCACTTTCCTTTTAGTAGAACCACCAAAAAGAGTTACGTAGATTCCACACAAAGCCGAAACATTGATCGCCCGCGACCACCACCGAAAAACACCATGATTAGGCCTTGCTAGCCTATGACTCGGCATGTTGTCGCAGGAAGTTTGTACACGACAACATGAAGATTGGGCGCTGAAAAGAGCGCACTCAAGCAACTGATCGAAGAGCAACGTGCATGATATGATGTTTGAGTTCGCGGCCTGGAAAGCAAGGGCAACAAAAGTCCTCCAACCTTGTGCAAGTCCACGTAGTAGCAGCAAACACGAAAGCTCAGCTCCCATTAGAAAGTCGAAAAGCTTTTAAATTTGTGAACAAAGTAGCAAACACGATAACGATGGTGTTTTTCCGGACAGGAAACTGAATGCGCACTTGACGAGCATGTGATCGCACGTTCCTTGCGAAGCGCACGTGACCGGAGTCATGCCGGCTCGGGTGCAAAGGTTACTCCGGCACCCAAGCAACCGCTCTTCTTCGTCCCTAAGAGAACCCGCGGAGCTGGCGCAGCGCTGCCGTGCTCTTTTAGGGGCGAAGCTCCTTAGGGTGTGAGTCTTTCCCTCTTTCATAGTATGTATGTACTGTGAAACCTCGTTAAACCATAGCTGGCCGGAGCTCGGAAAAAGTACGTACTAAACGATAGTACTGCTTAACCGAAATGGCGTCAGGTCGCTCACCTACCTGTCAAAGAAAAACCTTCAGGGAGTGCGATGAAAGAACAAAAAACGTGCAGTAATTTATTAACTTCGCATGACAAAGTCTGTAATCTTCATTTGACGACGCGGCGGCCTAGCAGCAAGGACAGCGGCCTCAAACTCACTTATGCTGTGAGCCAGCTTTTCTGCCAGCCCCCTCTTCTCGGCAAATACCCGCATGACGCTGACGCAATGCGCAGTTTCGGCCACTGTCAGATCGGGATCACCCGTGTTGTCGCTTTCCATGTCGTCCTCATCACTATCATTTGGCGACACTTCGACAACCGAGGCAACAATGGCTTCGTCGGACATGTTCGAAGATGTCTGCACATCGCTGTCTGCGTCTCTGAGGTTGGGGAAGGAAATGCCTTCCGTAACGTCCTGTCGCTCCAACACCAGCTAGCAGAGTTTTGCAAGCTTCGTCTACGATGTCCAAAGTCTGGTCGATGGTGTCACTGGCGTTATCTGCGTCGCCCGCACACACACTGAAGCCAGCACGCTTGAAGCAATTTTGAACTGTCGTTGCTTCAATCTGCCGCCACGAGTATTCGAGCAGGTGAATCGCGCCAATCAGGTCAATGGAGAATAATTTGCCACATTCAATGGCGAGAAGAAATCTGCTCAGCAGATTCTTCTTGTAGAGCTGTTTTACAGCTCGAATGATGCCTTGGTCCAAGGGCTGGGCAATCGCTGTTGTGTTTGGCGGCAGAAACGCCAATTTCACAGCCGTCAGGTTGTCCAGGGCGACGTGCGCTGCAGCGTTGTCTAAAATAATAACAACTCTTCTGTTTTTATCCGCAAAACGACGATCGATGAGGCGCACGTAGTCCTCAAAGAGTTTTGCCGTCATCCATGTTTTGGTGTTGCTGCGATAGATGACCCCTGATGGCAACCGGGCGCCTTTGAAACATCTAGGCTTCGCCAACTTTCCAATCGCGAGGAGCGGAGGTTTGTCGGTTCCAGTCATGTCTACGCAAAACGCCACTGATATTCTGTCTTTTGCATGCTTACCGCCGATGCAGGTCTCGCCTTTGAACGCGAGCGTTTTGTCTGGTAGCAGCTTAAAGAATAGCGCCGATTCGTCCATATTAAAGATGTCATCAGGTGCGTAGTCTTCCAAGATGTTCAGCTGACCATTTTGCCACTGCTCTGCACCATCCATGTCAGCAGCAGCAACTTCTCCAGAAACAGTCCTCGTGGTCATGCCGTGCCTCGCCTTAAATCTGGCCAGCCAGCCATTGCTCCACACGAAGTTGTCATGGTTGAGCTGTGAGGCAAAAACCAGGGCCTTCTCCACGAGCAGGGGTCCGCTGATAGGCAGATTTTTTGACTGTGCAGCTTTTGGCCACTTCACCAGCGCCTCCTCTACATCCGAAAACGCCGAACCGCGTAGCCGGCACCTTTTTGCAGTTGCAGCAGCACTGCCAAGCAACTTCTCTCTGGAATTCCAAATTCCACACACCGTGGTTAACGGCAGGTTCTTTTCGCGTGCCAGCGCCGATTTTTTCGTGCCACTTTCAATAGCACGAATTATGTCCAATTTCTCCTCTATTTTCAGCACTCGATGCTTTTTTCCCAGCTTCGGCATGACACAAGTACGAAGCAGCACAAGCACACGTACACAACACATGAAAAACGACGCGAGAGCAGTACGGCACGGATCAACCAGAGAACACCTATGCACGGTGCCAAAGGAACAAAGAAAGCAAAGCAAGCGCACACCGTGTTTGCATGTTTGTGCAAAGCGCCATCACGCGGACAACACCAGAAGCCTAGCCGGCCGAGTGCTTCTTGTTGCAGAAAAATCCAAGAGATGGTGCTCACCAACACAGCCGCCATCATCAAACAAGCGAGGCGTGTTTCGATCTCTGGGGCTTGCTGTTCTGTCGGGACGCCCAGTGGGGGACGACATGTCGCGGCGAGTGCGCAACGAAAATTGGAAAAACTACTTATTAACCGATACATACGCGATAAGCTGGTACGGCTTATGCAGATACAGAATGCATTATGTTCAATGGCCGCCGAGTCGGGGATTTGACTTCACTACTTTTAAAACGAAACTACTGTTTACGCGGGTACGGTTTAACGAGGTTTCACTGTATGTATGTATGCATGTAGCCACCTCTAGTTTATGAATTGCCCAATAGATGGCATTGCGTGTATATGTCCTTGGAAATAATATTACTAGATGGTGTTAGTGGTTTCAGTGGGATGGTACTGATGGACGGACGGACAGACATACGGACGCTTCAGCCCACTCATCATCACTCACTCCGTGGATGTGTTGCAACTTTTTTTTTTTTCCTCTCTTCAGTTAATGTAAAAGGGCCGTGCAAATACGGTACTGAAGTACTGATCACGGACAAGTTTGGGGTGTGTATTTATGCGTGGAAATTTTTAAAATTTGATTTCTCGCTACCAAACTAGGGGTGCGCGTGTTATGCAAGTAAATACGGTACTTTTTGAAAGGATGTTCACGTGAGAGTGACAACATTGGCTGGGCGTTTTGATTATTTTGACAGGACAAGTCTCACGTAATACTAATATGGTGCCTGCTAGGCCACTCTATTGTGTGCGAAAAATTATAAAAACACTACTAATACTTCCTCAGATACAAAAAAAAGATTTCCGTATTTACTATGAAATTTCGAAAGCAATCCCAGAACGACACTAGGGGTGCTGCACAGCTGCCACCACGAGGCAAGTCTGCCAGTATGGATCTATAAATGCGTGCGGTGATCAGAAACAGCGTTTAATATCAATAGGAGAGCAAAATGCAAAAGGTAGCATTTCTTGGTGTCGTCTGCTTGAGTTTTGAACTTTGAAGACTAGTAACATCAGTTTTGGTGCACAATTTCTTAATTATTTTAGCGTTCATCACAGCAATCATTGCTACATGCATTCTAGTGCTAAATAAGGCAGTCGCAAAATAAAACCACACCCACTCAAACCAAGCAAGTGTACCTGTAGCTATTTCTACGAATGGGCTCCAGCTTGTGGGCTAGGATGGAGACCGGGTGTGCCTTGTCAGCTTCTGTGCGTGTCGGAACTTCAGTCGTGCTCTCCCCAGCAGTGTCGGGGCGCTGGATAGGCTGCTGCTGTGAAGGCCGCGGTGCAAGGCGTACTTTCTCGGGAACCTTGAATGGGCTCTGCATGCACGGGGACAGAACTTTAGTTACAACTGCACAGCTTACCAAAACAATGCTTCGAGTGAACACGCCTACATTTTTTAGCCACTGCAATGTAAAACAAAAATTTTTGCCAATACAAATGTGGAAGTAAAATTTTTCAAAAACTAAGCACCTTCATAATTCACAAAGGTCTGAAGACTAGGCTCCTAAACTTGCCCAGATATGGCACTATGCATCCTGTTAAGACACACAACATGTCCAAAGCAATCTGGCCAGCTAGGAGTTTCCAAAACTAAGTTCAGACATTTTTTAAATTATGAGTAATGAGTGATTTCTTAAATATGAATAAACTTCAGAAAAGAATGAACTGTATCATTATCATCATTCAAAACTGAAGCTGTAAAAATAACAAAAAATGCAGACTCTCACTTAATTTTCTTAGGTTGCTTTTCTTTGGAATAGTCATGTGCATAGCAGCCAGGAACAAGTAATGTAAAAAATACAAAAACTCTAAACACTATATGTAATACCCTCACTTTATTTTTATCACTACAGGAAGGTAAAGATGTCAGGCAACAAAAACAAAATGTGGAAATTGGCAAAAGCAAATTGCAGATGTGTTCTTCAGGACCCCAGGCTTTCTTTAATGTTGCTCAAAACAATGAGATGGCATATCCTGTTTAACTCACAACCTCATGCTCCTCAGAATGTAGCAACCGTTGAGCCTCAGAAAGACAGGTGTTTGAGCAAGTTGGTGTCCTGGGTGCCTCTATAGTGTACGTCCCCGTTTCATAGGACTTGTTTGTTTTGCATACACTAAGCAACCTGCTGTATCAGCCAAGCTGTTACTAAAGTGGACACATCGATAGGAGGTTCATAAACACTGCAGAGTGGACAGACAACATAGCCTTTTCACCTTAGCCAAGATGTCGCCAGCATTTCCCAAAAGCAGTGCGTTTGCTGCTGCAACTGCTGATCTCGAATCAGAGGCCAGACTGTTGAGACTGCTAGTGGAGGAGCTCCTGCTACTTGGACCTGTCACGTGCAGGAGGAACAGAGAAAGTTCATGAGCCCTACAGCACTATCACTGCTGCATGCCAGTACAATTGGGTTTTAGTGTGCCGCAATGGTGACACGCACTCAAGAAGCCACTTTCTTAAAGGAGCACAATCAAATGGTTTCATTAAAGAAGTTTACTATTCCATGAATAAACCACCGCAAAATTCTTTAGAACCAGTTGAGTACAAGCAGAGTTATAGAGATTTCTCATGCGGTAACTGACGGTAACTGATTTCTCTCTTCTCTTGTCCCGACAAACACATTGAAAGCTGAGCAGGAAGGGATAACACTAGGTAGGGAAGTTAGGCTTCAAGACTTCAATCACTTTTTCTTTCTTCCTTTCTTTTTGAACACACAGCTTACTTTCAGTGCACGAGTGGTGGCCATGGTAGCTATGCAGCTCATGATGCTCAAATCAGCCAATAAGCATGAACTTGGGTATATGGCACAATTATTTGGGTATATGGCATCATTTATTGAGAAAACAGGGAATGATTTCTAGCTGGCTTTGAGAATCAATTGTAAATTCCAGGCATTGTGCTGCACTGTGATGTTTGGCTTGTGCGTTCCCTTTAACTCAGCTCTCTGCCACCAAAGACAAAAAAAAGAAATTACACAAGAGTATTATTGTTGGCATTCTTTCGATGCAGTCTTAGTTTCACCAAAGGAAAACCAAAGTACAGCCACGCGGTTTGCTGTTTTATCGTCAGAAAATGTACCTATATTTTATGGCGTATAAGATGCACTTTTTTTGCATTTTTTTGCTGGTGCACCATATAAAACAGTGTGTCACATATATGCAAAAATTAATGTGATTTGGCACTACTAATATGCCCATAATTTATTCTCAGGTACAATAAACCATGTACAATAACATTCATTAAAATAAAGTCAACATGATCATAACAACAGAACAACAGTAGCCATGACAGACAAACACACACACACAAAAAAGCTGCCATCATCAAGCTCACTATTTTCCTGTCTTAATTAGGCTAAGTCACGAGAGATGTATTCAGTGTTCACGTAAAAGTGCAGTAATTGCTGAGTAATGTAGCAAGCGCATTACACAGGGTGAGTGTCCAGTTTTTAAAGTGCCTGCTTACCTTTAGCCTGCTTTGTAGCATTCTCAATGGATTCAATCAAGCTGCGCACCGAGTGTTGAGCACTGCTACTGCTGCTGCTGCTGCCAGCACGCAGGTCACTCCATTTGGACAGTGGCCGGCTACTACCGCTGCTACTACTACGAGGGGGTGTGCTCAAGGGCATTCCCTCCTGGACCCCTGCTCCGCCCTCAGAGAGGCCATCTACAGACGAAGAGTGGGCCTTGGGCGACAGCTCCTGCTTGCTCTAAAGATATGAAGAGGCAGTAGCTTGAGAATTGAGCACATCAATTACCCACCATGTTATAGACATGGGCTATACAATGAAGCTGAAACTGAAGTCAGGGAGAGCTAACTAAATTCATAAAAATTAAACAACTGAGGTTCCACTGTATTTGAACATGCGACTTCAAGCTGTGTTTGTGTAAAAGCTTCAATAAAGAGAGAAAGCCAGACATTTAACAGGACACAAAAGGAAAAGCAGTTTTTTTCCACGTATTACTAAATTGCTCTTTTGCAATACCAAAAACCATGCTTACATCGACAAGTCGCCAGGTAAAGAAGAAAACTAACTTACTCTTTTGGAATACTACAAACCATGCTTACCACGACAAGACATTAGGTAAAGAAGAAAACATGCAAAAAAAAAAAAGCAAGTGGAAACGTCACATTGAGGTTCCTGCATCAACTGCCACGACGTCATGGATTTTAGCGGTGTTTGTTAGGACCTGCTGTGTTCACTCGATCCTAAGTTGACTCTAATGTAGGTCGACCCCTACAATCATAACACGAGAAAAAAAAGGGGGAGGGGGCTGCATGAGCACATTCAATTTTTAAAAGTTTATTTATGATGTCCCCGAACAAAAGAATCAAAATCCAATGTGTCAAAATGGCTTCACGGCAGTGCTTGAAAGCTGTGCAAAAAAGCTAGCTTTGCAGGAATATGCGGGGAATATTTTAAGAAAGACTGTACAACCGAAACAAGTTTTCAATTCTCAACAACCCGACAACTTCGGATTTCAATTTACGACAAAATAAATCCACCTACAATCGTACAAATATGATATGTCGCTCCTAGTCAGTAAATGTTAAGTACATTGTCCTCTTAGGGAGCCAGAGACCCAAGATACCCATTTTCAGAAATTTCCATTGACCCAATGTAACTGAAATCTGAAAAATGCACTTTGAAATCAGTGATTTCTAGAGCACGGGTTTCAGCACGAAACTTAAACATTAGAATTTGATTTTTACTTCCTCCTCTATAAACTTTTTTCATAATTCTAAAGCTAGCTTTCCTGCTATGCAGTTTGCCCGACTAACGGTGGTGAGTTACTTTCTGAAAACAGAGTGTTCAAGCGCAGTTGAAGCGCAATGACATGAAAAATGTAGGCTCAGCTCTCCTGACATTAATGCACATAATAGACGAGCCTCAGCTTGTTCAACTAAAACCTCTCTCTATTTGAAGCAGGACAGGTGCTGCCATTAGTAGGGTACATATGCAGAGTAGGAAAGTGCGCTTGCGCATTATGGAAAGGGTCTATTATTAAAGCTGCAATGGTGAAATCATTCAGAGAGAAATGTATCAACCTAAGCAGACCCATTGTTTCACATTAAAGTCCCTTAAATGGTCACTCTGCAGGGAATTGGTTGCGCCTGGAAGGTACTAGCTAGTACCTTAAGCTTAGCCAGCTGGGCCTCCAAGGCCTCGAGTTTCTCCTGCAGCTGCTGGTTGTCGCACTGGAGCCGCTCCACCTCCTGCTGGGCCTCGGTCTTGAAGTCGTTGGCCACTCGCACAGTGGTCAGCAGGTCGGCTTCGAATCGTTTCCACTCCTCCTTCTGGAAATGACCACGACCAGACCATACCACTTGATATAGTGCAATCTTTACTACCAACTACTAATTGGGCCTCCCTAATTTACCCATTACATGACACTACCTAAAAATATCTAAAAAGCTTTCTATCACTTCTGCAAAAGGTAGTGGCATCTTGTCTTGTCCAGATGCTCGCAAGCAAAGTTTCAATGTGAGACAGCTAAAAACATCCACATACAAAGCTACCCACAACCTCAGATGTCATAAGACAGGAATGAAATGTGACAAGGAATAAATTATGAATACTATCTATGATGCCTGATTACTTCAATGTAAGATATAAACAGGGTAGTAGACAAGCACCATTTGTGCTCTCACTACCAAAACTAAGGTTCTGTGAATTAATCACTCTGATGCAATAATAATAATAATAATAATAATAATAATAATAATAATAATAATAATAATAATAATAATAATAATAATAATATGTAATCTCAAAACCCCCAAATAAATAGGAAAGATGCATAGTGGGGGGCTCTGAAAATTTTGACCACCTGGGGTTCTTAAACGTGCACCCAAATGTGAGCACATGGGCCTACAGCACTTTTGCCTCCATTGAAAATACAGCCGCTGCTGATAGGATTCGATCTCGCGACCTGCGGGTTAGCAGCCAGGTGCCTTAGCCACTAGACCACTGTGACGGGGCACTCTAATGTTGTATAAAGCAGCAAATAGGGAACGGAAATTTCACCTACCTCTAGATCGCTTTATGAAGCGCACTACTTAAGCTGGACATGTCCAGGGCGTCTTCCTGCCACAAAGCAATGATCAGCTTCTATATTGCATGCCTTTCCTTTGCTTTAAAGGGGTCATGACCAACTCTTCTAAATATTCACCAAATGATCCCAGTAACAGAGTTCATTTCTTCAATAAATTATTTCCGCAAAATTTTCTGAAACCATCAAGAATGAGCGGAGTAACAGGAGTTTGTCACATGCTCTCATCATGAAAATCATGCTGGTAGCTAGACAGAAACCGATGGCACAGGGAAAAAAAGTTTTGTCAGCGCACATAACCAGGAATGAGCAAATATTTGTGTACTCCCAATATTCAAACAAATGTTACAGCATTCAAATTTGCTATGGCATAAATATTTATAATTCATAATTTTGAAGTATTTGAAATGATCAAATATATAAATCATTGACCACATGTAACTTTCCTGTAAAAGCGGTTTTACTGCAGCTTGCTTCTGCTAAGCCATGAAACCACCCATGCAGGCAAAATCCGCTCTGCCACGAAACCACACTTCAAGGATGAACATACATATCACCCGCCCCTCAATATTTCATTAAATTTAAGAACCTGTTACACAGGCTTGTAAGCGTTAAGTGAAATAGATTTTAATATGTAATTGTGATGAGTGATAGCAGACAACGCTCGGTGCGTGTCTCGCGCCTTTGCGCGAGGAAAACTAAGCAGATCGGAGCCGAGCTCACGGGCGCTCAAGGATTGTTGAATAAAAAAAAGGGTCTGGCAGTCTCTTCCTGATCTTGAAAGAGTGTGAACGTCCTTTTTAGGCCGCCTCGGAACTCAGTATATCTGATGGCCACAACAGCACGTCACAGTAATGTGCTGTATCACTTGCAATTCAATTTTATAAATATAGTGCGCAAGCATAACTTTCAATGTGGATGATGAAATGCAATCGCTCACTTCTGTTGCAATTTCTGTGGGCACGAGTGGGGCTACAGTGTAATGCAAGCAGGCTAATGAGTGTAGTGCCAGCATGCGGCGGCCTCCCATGGCAAGAAGCACACCTGATCCAAGTGCTGCTCTTCATTTATGTACTCTATTGGCCAATAGCACGCTATCTGTTCTGTGACATCAAATAGCAGGCTTCAACAGCTCCAAAGAAATTGAGCACAGGTCTCTGTTAGACAAGAGGACACCTGGGAAAATAGCAAGTCCGCATTCGGCCTTCAAACACTTTTAGCCACACACAACTGCAGTGTGGTCAAGACATTCATTGCAGAGTCTACTATCCACACAGTGTATTTTCTCACCAAGCTAGAGGGCTGGCACATGACATTTTCAATAACTTGCACCTAGAATGTACTTCCGAGGCGGAAATCTTGTAGGCCCATGTACTCAGATTTGGGTGAACGTTAAAGAACCCCAGGTGGTCAAAATTTCCAGAGCCCTCCACTACGGCGTCTCTCATAATCATATGGTGGTTTTGGGACGTTAAACCCCACAAATCAATCAATCAATAGAATGTACTTCCAGGTGTTGAGAGGCATGTGCACTATCAGCATGACAGCGTATGTACTCAAATGTGATGCCAGTTTCTTTTCATATTTTCGCTGCCATAAGTCGACCTTCGTGCGACAATCAAATACCAAAATGACTATTTTTTTTCCTGGACACAATTAAAAGTCACTTCCACGTTACAATTGCAGTTGAGTGACAATGAAGTAAATACGGTAGGATTGTCGATATAGCGAAGTAATTGATGCAGTTTTTGAGAAAGAACAACTTAGCAAGATCATAATTCTCGTGTGACGAAAAGATGCCCAGAACGTGCCCTTTTTATTTAACAAATGTACCTTAGATTTTCATTCCCATTCATTTTACCAGATGCAAGTGGCTAAGAATGAAACAATTATGCCTCACCTATCAAAGATGGAAAGTGACAAAACTAAGAAAATGACTTTTTTCCCTTCCAAAAAAAAAAAGGGTTACGTAAAAACACACCTCAAGAACATGCTGCGAGTGCAGATCGTCGAGGTCTCGGCGCGCGGCTCCTAGAAGAGCCGAGTTGTCAGCCAGGCTATTGCTCATCTCGGCGAGGGTGGCACGGAGCTGCCGCTTCTCCTCCAGAAGCCGCTGGCAACGGGCTTCAGCTTCTTCATGCAACTGAGCTTTCTCCGCTTCCAGCTGCTCCACACGTTGTTCAAGTGCAGAAACCTGGTTTTAAGTCAACAAACAAGCAAAAAGGAATAGGTTGGAAGGACATCCGCTGTGGCCCTAAAAGCTTGTGAACAGAGAGAATCGCTACAGGACACAGCAAATGTGTACCACGCTGTCAACAACCATAACAAAGTGGCCAAAGCGGAGATTACTTAATTACAGTTCAGACCACTCAAGACTAACACAGTGCAAAGTGGAGAGCTGGGCAGTTGGTATATTCCTGGATACAAAAATTACCAGCAATGAATGTGACAATGGCAACAATCATTAAGGAACCAATTTAGAATTGGTTGTCCGATCTCACTCTGGAGATATTCATTTTGAAGCCTCATAGTGTAGGCCCAGATATAACACGATGCTTCCAAACTACTGCTTGCACTTCCATAAAACAAAATGTATACGATTACCACTCATTGTACCACCACATGAAATAATATAACCAACAGAGTGAGAGAAATATAGGAAAAAAGAAAAAAATGGAAACGGAGGAAAGGAGAAAGAAATAGAAGAAAAAAAGTCAGTTTGGCCGCAAGGATGAAGCAATGAATGCGTTAGCAACAAATTGGGATCTCACGTGAAGAACGGCAATACTTAGAGCGTGCTGCTCAAGCACAAAGGATGCACAAAAGGACAGACACACAGAACGAGCACAAGCTAACAGGTGTCACAGCTGTTACTTCACTGTGTTTGAACAGCGTGCTTCTTTCGCAAACGGGACGGGCAAACGGTGAAGGGGTTTTTCTGCTCTCTGTAAACCAGAACGTAGTCCTTCAGCGGCACACGACGTAAAAACTACCCCCATCACAAGGTAAGCGCCACCGCACGGGCACAGGCATCTACGCCCTGTAGAGCAAAGTGCAAGTTGACGAGCCAATGCATAGCTACAAGTGCACGGGACACCGAGGTTGACGTACAACCAGTGGTACGTGGTGTATATAAATAGCTTGCCGTTAGTATATTGAAGGATGTGTGCTCCTACGGTTGAGCGGTTAGCGCCGCGCACTGTGAAGTGAGAGGTCACACTTTCGATTCTATGCATCGAGAAACATTTTTCACAATTTTTCATTGTTGTTGTTGCTTTCAGGTATATATATTGTAGTGGTGAATTCGCAAGGCAATGACCAGTGGGACCATCTCTTAGTGCGAAGTGCGAGCGGTGTGCATGAGCTCTGGACGCTGGGCTGTTCGAGCATTTTTGTCCGTACTGGCTGTCTGCCTACTACCTGGCATCGTTATTAAACTTCTTGAAAAATGGTGAAAGTGTGCTGGTTACGCAAATCTGCAACTTCGAAGCCAGAAGCTGCCCCCTTCATCGACAATGCCTGATCAGACCACCAAGCAAGGCACCGCCCAGCAAAGCACGGCCCAATCTCCACTGGTCATTGCGCCTACCACCCTGGTACAGAACGGGATCCCCCATTCATCAGTCGCACCGAGGACCAACATGTGGAAGACTGGCTGCGTCTGTTTGAAAAGGTGAGAACACCAACAAGTGGGACGACCCTTCGAAATTGGAGTATGTCCCATTTTACCTAGAAGACGTCACCAGCCTGTGGTTCACAAACCACTGGGCTGAATTTGTCACTTGGTGCTGCTTTCCAGACCACCCTTGTCGCTGTGTTTGATTGTCCCGCAGTGCGCATGCTCCGTGCCGAACAGCGGCTATGCAAACGTGCGCAAAGGCATGGCGAAAGCTTCACAAGCTTTATGGAAGATGCCATCGATTTATGCCGGCGCTTGAAGCCAGAGATGACCGAACAAGACAAGATGAGGTATATCTTGACAGACACAGACGATGATGCCTTTCAAATGTTGCTGAAAAAGGGCCCAAGTACCGTGTCTGAACTTGTGACCTTGTGCCAGAGCTCGGAAGAACTTCGCAAGCAACATGCGTCAGTTTGAAGGTCGACGGCAGCAGACGACTCTCTCGCTGCCCTGGCCGTCAGTGGTGACAGCACCCTGCTGGAGCAGATAAAAGTATATGTACGTGAAAAGGTCGCACGACAGCTTTCCTGTCTCTCATAACTGCCGACCACCAAAGTACCAACGAACTGCCTAACACCGACCATCAGACAGGCTATTCAGGAGCAAATCTCCGAGGCGTTGCCATTGTTGACGTCTGCTTCTCCAACAACACCTGTCACCGTGCCACTGACTTATACAGCCAACGCGGACACGCCACCGCGTCTGCCATTTTATACCCCACAACTTGTGCGACCGTCTGCCGTGCCGTTCCCAGCTACACAGCAGCACTTCGGAAATCCCTGGCGCACTGCTGACAACCGGCCCATCTGATACTTTTGTGGAATTCCAGGTTATGTTTCACGTCTATGTCATCGGCACTTCGCAGTGAACCCGGAGGCACCAAGGTATCCCGACTACTCGTTTCGGCCTCTATACCGCGCACCTCAGTGCCACCTGAAGTTTACAAACGCGACGCGCAAGATGCTTCCGGCACTCGAACCGCCACTTCTCGATATTCTACTTCCTGCTCGCTTTCCCTTTTAACAAGTTGTCGTTCTGTGTTGCCTCTGTGTCGATGACCCACCTCCATTGAGACGGAAAACTAACTGCCGCAGCTTCGGAGGCACGAGCTGCGTCATTGTCGACTCGTCTGTCCACCTTCGCCTGTCCACTGCCAATCTTATTGATGTAATCGTCGAAGGTGTACGAACACCTGCGCTTATCGATACTGGTGCCGCGATATCTGTGATAAGTTGAAGACTCTGCCTCTCTCTTCGCAAAGCGACAATGCTTTCTCCCGTGGTTTCCCTTAGCACTGCGAGCGCCTAACAAATTGAGCCCGTTGCCGCATGTACAGCAAATGTGATAACTTGAGACGCGTTGTACGCCATTCAATTTTTCGTGTTGGCTTCATGTTCCCACGATGTCATCCTAGGATGGGATTTCTTATCACATCATCACGTCGTCATCAACTGCACTCTGGCCGAAGTGGAGCTGTTACCGTTTCGTGATGCGCCTTCGATTGATGAGGCCGTATCTAGTGTGGCCAACCTTGTCATCGTGACAGACATTGACCTTCCTCCTTTCAGCGCCCAGTTTGTTCCTGCTTACTGTGCTTCACTTTTTGATTGACGCTACCGTCCTGTTCACATTATCTGACATCTTCGGTAGCCGCCACCACACATCGCTGTCATTCGCCGTTCTAGCGCTTTGTCAGGACCCCACTACCGGAATGTTTATTTCCAATCCCAACTCGTTCCCCCTCAGCTTGCGCTGCAACATTCAGCCTGTTGGTAAAGGTGTTATCATGTCTGCCGATTTCTTCGACACCAAGCCGAATATGGAGCTGAACGCATTGGTTTCTCACCTTGCCTTGGCCACGTGTCTTCTGATGCAGTTCCCCGTTCACTTTGCATCTCACTCTTCTGCTTAAGATTCTACAGTGCCTCACAAATGCGTGGCTTTAGCTTAACTTGATGAAATGTCACTTCGGGGCTCAACAACTCACCATACTTGGTCATGTCGTCTCCAAAGACGGCATCGTCCCCAACCCTGATGAACTTCGTGCTGTTGCCGAATTTCCTAAGCTGACTACAGTTAAAGAACTACAGAGCTTTGTGGGCCTGTGCTTTTATTTTCATCGGTTTGTCCGGAGCTTTGCATCCATCATTGCTCCGCTCACTAAGCTCCTTGCTTGTGTCGTCTTGTATAGCGCAAGATGATCATTTTTTGCTCACAACCGCTGACGCCGCAAAACGAGCTCTTTAGTGCACTCATGTTGAAATGTACACTTGAAGCAGAACAGTTAATTCAAAACTAGGCAATACTTTGGCAGAAACTAACAGCGATTGCTGTTTGTGAGTTTCAGTTCTTTGGTTACCCCATTGTACTTCTAGTGTTTATCTTGGACAAGTAAGTACTGATATTCTGCTCTTACCAGTAGCAAATAACAGCACACAGGAAACTCAGCAGACTAAGAAGGCTGATTCCCCTGTCTCTCTCGTCACGCTATACCAACAAATTTATGGGGGAAAGCAGCTACTAGCAAGTGAGGAAGGGAGGCCCACCTGAGCATGGGCGGCCTGCGTCTCCTCCTGCACCTCTGCCAGCAGCTGCGAGAGACGAGCGGCCTCCCTCTGGGCGACAGCCAGTTGCTCCTGCAGAGCTTCCTCCCGCTTGCGCTCCTCTTCCTGCCACCTGGCACTGTGGCTCAGCTGGCTGCTGCTGTCCACCACCTGTGCTTCCCCACTGTCAAAGAGAGAAAAGCTGTGGCACTCACAGACCCCAAGGCCTCACGAGCGAATGAAAACAGCAGGCAGAACTGGTCATAGGCTCAGGAAAAAGAGCGCACTGCACTGAAAAGTCTGCCACTCACAAGGAGTACGCTACAGATGCAATGCAAGTTGGCACATGGGTCATCTTTCAATTTTTTTATGACATTTGAGGGGTTCATACAGACAGGACGTAGCAGAAGAAAAAACACAGGCACTGTGTAGCGCTTCTTACTGTTGCGTCCTGTCCATTTCAGCACTGTAAATTACATTAAAAATTCATTAACAGCTAGTCCAACTACCAATATTGCTTAACTAAACCATGAATAGTGAATTGTTAATTGTACAAATGTTTCGTAAATAGGCTTCCTGCACATCTTATTCCTCATAGCTATATAGAGTAGACTCTCAATAAACGGAAATCTGTCAAACGGAACAGCTGCTTAAAGGGACATTAAGGTCAAATAACAATTTACGTCAGAGTGAAAGCTTCATGTATAACGATGTCTAAAACAACAATATTATCAAAAGCAGTGCCCTACTTACCAAGAAATGAAGGTAAATGCACGAGAACACATGTGCTACAATAAGACATTCGCAAAATAATCCCGATTGCATCAGACATACTACCTTCAATTAATAACCAGTAATTGTACTTGCTGCACTAAATAAAGAATCTTCCAATTATCAAGAAACGTAATTAAATTCTGCTTGTTTGTTTTTGTTTGATTCACGGAAAAAAGAACCACGAGACATTACTATGAGTATGGCACAAGTGGTTCAATATTTCAATTTTTGCCTGGTTAACCTGGACTGGTCGTGCCATCTAGTGGGGCCCAGTTGAACCAAAACATCTCTGCCATCTCAGAGCCAATGAAGAAAATTGTTAAATGGCTGTGCTGCTGTGGCTCCCACTGCGTTTGTTCTGCTGCTACTAGTGTTGGCTGCTGCACAGTAAAGACGGGCAACCTTGTGCATGGAAATAGTGCCGTGACACATTCCGCTTCAGGCAGGTAATTTCAAGTGCACTAACCCAATGCGGACCACAAAAACATGACTTTATTTCAAAAAAAGCACTTCCTTGGCACAAAATTAATACTCAGAGGTTTCTGGACCCTTATTTGAACAATTAACACTGACTTAATAGTTGTCTTTAATAGTACCTTTAAATGAAACAACTGCCTCTGATATGATTGGTTTTATACTTGTATTCTGCACCCCTGTCCACCTCTCAGTAACAGGAACTCCTGTGAAATAGAACATATTTTCCCGGTTCCTTCAGGTTTTGTTTACTGAGGGTCTACTATACAAGAGAGAAATGCCTCCGTCGATATATCTGGCCTTACTATAATTTTTCTCCTTCAAATTTTGATGTAAAAAAAATTGAAAAATCAATGGCAAACACTTTGCAATGATTTCTTCACATGAAATGTGTTTCATCTAGCTTATTTTATGTCTCTATTAAACTGCCTAGAAAGCATGTCAAAGCACACACATTCCTATACATCTGTGCCCAGTAAAATGCTTCCCAGGAGAATCCCCACCAACTTACCCAATAATGAAACCATGCACCCTGTAATTGATCCACTACAACAGAGTTCTGTTTCCTCAACTCAGTAGGGTCCCAAGACAAACTTAGTCATACGCATCGAAAACTGAAATTATAGTGTGGCCATAACATACAATCATCTCTGAGCCCAGAAGTGAGAGGTAACAAAGAAGCACAAAGAATAGACACTGCCTCTGTGTGTCATCTGCTGTTTTTACCTGGCACTCACCATGATTTCTTTACAATGATGGACGGTTATGCAGTAATTCAACACACATACACTTAATGATGTGATTGAGAGGTAAACATTATGACAGCATTGCCTATCTGGTTGGGTTTTATAACTGAACTAAGCGCCATTGCCGCTTTTTGCCGCAGCTAGCCAACCAGCCCCCAGTCACTTTTGAAGGAGCCAAACAAGCTCCGGAACATATTGTCTCAAAGGAACACTAACAAAAATGACTATTTTTCTACTATTTGCTAATTGTTCGCACACAATATTAACATCACCATGCATGTTTCAAAAACACAGCAAGTGAGAAAAAGCATGAAAAATTAAATGCAGGTAGTGATGCCACCTTGAATTTGCTGCATCAATTGCAGTGACATCATGCCTTCCGACAACTCCTACAAGGACCTACGTAGTTCTCAATAGGTACAAATGAAGTACATTGTCCTCTGAGGAGGACAGAGGCTTACCAAGTCTGAAGAAATTAAATTGACCCATCGTAACGAAAATATGAAAGGACACTTTGAAAACCGTGATGTCACCAGTGCAGGTTGTGGTGCGAAGTACAAAAATGAAATCGACTTTCATTCTCCCTTCTTTTAATAAACTTATGATGGTTGAGCTCTCAGAGTATAATTAACCAGTCTATAATTGTTCATTGTATCACTACAGGGTCACTCTAAGAATTTAGGTTGGAGATATCTTTCCCTTCACACATAACCGTGCGCATGCAGGCCTGCACTCACTCCAGAATTGGTGCAGCATTGTCACCCTCTCCCTGAGGAGCCGTAGAGGAAGAAGAGGCAGCCTGAGCTGCCTCAAGTGCCGCTTGCAGCAGAGAGACGCGGTGAGCAAGGCCCTGAAGATCTCGCTGATGGTCCTGGGCTTCACGGGAGGCCACCTCTAGCGAAGCCTGCAGCTGTTCCACTTGGCCACGCAGCACTGTCTGTTCTTCGTGCGCTTTCTGCCAGGGTTTGGAGTGAACGTATATTAGCACACTCTTCTCATTAATAAATAAGGCCACCTATAACAAGCAACCATCGGCCACTGTTTTAGATGGGAACCTTTGATCAGAACAAGCGTGCCTAAAGAAAGGGTGCTCTATAGAACTTGGATCACTGGTTCATTATGCATACGATCCGTGGATGTGGCTACAAAGTAGGATTTGCTTCACGTCTTTCCGTAGGGCTAAAGGGTACAGTAACATCTTTTCAAACCAGGGCTGTAAAAATGAAGATTCGCCAGCAATGTGCCTAAACCTGTAACTAAGTTATACTGCAGTAACACTACATTTATGATAGGAAAGAAAAATTATTCACCCAGTTTAGCATCAAAAAGCAACACAGGTTATTTTACATAGCAGAAGCTACAAATAGGCAATGTGAGGTGATTTGGTCAAGTATTATTTAACATGCATCACATTCGCTTGAAGCAGCTTTGCATTTAATTTACAACAGCCATCAAGAAATCGTAACCAATAATGAAACCTGAACTCTTGTGCAAAGCAGCATGATGCCACAGCCACTGAGCTGTAGCGACAAGAGATGGCACAGTGGGCAACCAGTGGCACAAAAGCTTGGCACATATGGAGATTTTCGCAAAATGACTCCTGGCTGAAAATAAAAAGAATTGCATAGGCATACCTTCAGCAGCTCCACATAGTGCTGCTCCCTCGAAAGTTGTGCTTCCACTGCTGGCGTAGACGAAGACGACGAGGTTTGCGGAGGTGGGGACGCATGACCAAAGAGCAGCGCGCGCAAGTGGTCATTGTGCGATCGGCACTCCTCCAGCTTCTCTGTTTGAGAGCACAGCGACTCGAGCAGAAGGGCCTTTTCGTCACAGCAGCGCTCGTTTTCCATTTGAAGGTCAGTCAGCTGGTCCTGCAGATCCGTCAGCTCTTGAAGTGTCGCCTGGAGCTCTTCGTTGGTGCTGCGTTTCAAACAAGATGCTTGTACCAGTTGTACATATCCGTAATGTAGTACCTCCATTTCCGAGCTCTTCTAGCTTGGTCTACTGATTGATCAATTTATCTGAATGTCACCTATAAAAAAACGTGGCATAACAAAAAGTATGCTTAGCTTCTATTTTTCTATCAGACAGTACATAAACGTTACAATAGCATTAACATTTACAACACAATTACTTTTTCTTCTCGGTTCACCACAAGACAGAGGCATCAGCTAACAATTTCAAAAATCTGAGAAATGAACTGTTTCAAATAGTCCTTCTTTTAAAGGACTGTGAGCAAACAGAATAACTCAACTGATACAAAAGTTACTCAGCCTTTGTTGTCTTTACTTGCTGCTAACATCTATTGATTACATTGCAAGCTCAAATATAACATACATTAATTTTTTGTTCATCGAGCTTTATGTAAATGTTGAAATTTCTTTATATAAGCATTGTATTTGTTTTATTTGTATTTTAGGAATAATTAATTCAATTTTGTTTTGTTGCCTACACTTGGCCACCCTGCCGAAATTCCTCTGGGGATTGCAGTATCTGTAACTAACTAAATAAAAAATGTTAATTTTGATACGAGATGTATTCATTATGATCATTGGTTCAATCTTAAGCCAAACTTTACACTGCGCCATGCCCGAACCAAGATCTGCCTTATCCCAATTTTTTTTTAACACCGCCACGCTACTAAGAGAAAAACCAGTGAATACCTGTAGTGCGTCTCCTCCATCTGCATGATGCGGTCCTGGAGGCAGGCAACAGACATCTCACTTAAGCTGCTGGTGCTGGCCTTGTCCCACTCCTGCCGACTGCCACTGGGACCAGCGTCGTCCGACAGGGCACCATCCACAGACTTGGCCTGCACAACGTGGCAGTCTGGTCATATCGTAACTTCTCATAACCAGTCAGTTTTCTATACAAAGACTGCAAGATGGCACTAGTGTCTAAAAGTGTCGCAAGCAGTTACATTTGTTCAGTCAGCCTGAGTGGTGGATGACTAGTTGACATTGAAGATGTGCCCAAAATGTGCCAGCTCGAACAGCTTTGCAAGATTGCTAGCTGATCATTTGCCCACTCTAAGTTGCAAAACTTGGGTAACCATACATTTGCAAAGGGATTTTTTGCCTACACACATCTATGAAAACATGACTACTTTATAATTTGTAAGGATAAATTATACTAAATAACCCACGAAAATGTCTGGAGGCAATCACCTAAAGAAGAGACCAGGGCTAGGCAGAGCTACTTTGAAATGTATTCCAGAATACGGATATCGAAGCACATGCACTTGAAGTCTCAATTTTTTATTAAACCTTAGCCAGCAATTCATATTCATAGGTCCACCTTGATATTCACACACAAAAAACAAAACAATGCACATCCTTTTAGTGAAACCAATTTCAAGTCATCAAATGTTTGGCATTTGTTCTCAGAAAAGCATATTTTGCACTATTCTAGATAAAATATATCTAGAATAGTGCATGTAACTATTAGTGCATAATATATGTAGAATTGTGCATAATCATGTCAGCCACTCTGTTTAAGACAGATAATAATACAACAAACTTCATATAAAAACAGTGCTAAAAGACAGAGGACCAGTAAAAGGAGGCCACAGATGGCAGTGCTTTTTTTTTTTACTTTAACTGTATCTCTAGTCTTCTGCGCTATTTTTAAGTGAAATGTGTCACACCAACTCAATCAAGCGACCACACTAAATGTAGACCTTCAATAATGCGAACTCAAGAGGACCTCAGAATTTTGTTTGAATCATCAGTTCTCGCAAATACAACTTTGGGCAACATGCCAACTAGTGTTGTGATGTTTACAGTTTCCCAGTGCTGCAGCAACATCATAAACAGCTCTGCACAATTAAAGTCCTTGGATAGAAGCAATCATACTGGTACTCCTTATTATAAAAGGCATTGATTGCTTATAATTAAGAGAGGAAACATGTTTGTGTCTCACAACAATTGATAACCCTGTGTCAATGTTAGAACGCTTTCCCGCATGACACAAATGTAATGCGGCAAAAGCGACTTAAAAAAGCAATCTGGCACATTAAATTAAAACTACACTTGCGTTTTTTTTTTGTTTTTTTTTCTCAGTCAGTGTGTGGTTTTTGGTGCATACAGTTTGACTAGTTTGGCCATTTGTAGGCAGGCCATCGCCTTAATTTTTGGCTTTTAGTGAAATAAGTGCATGTATGTTCAGAAGCAACAAAAACAGTTATTTCTTTTTCTGGCATGGACAGGCAAAACATTTAAGTTAACCAAACTTGTGCAGTAGGGAGCTTAAATTAAGTAGTTTTGTGAAAACATAGTGGGCACACAAAAATTTTCATATTTGCCTCAATTAACTGAAAGTTTGAGAGTCTACCGTACAAGGAGGAAGGCTGTACACCTTCTTTGACCATATTGGCATTTTGAAATACACCCCTGCGACTCACCTGTTCTCGAGCTCCATCAAGGCTGCCCGCTGAGGCTGACCGCTGCAGGGGGTCTTGTTTTCCTGATGCCTCAGCAGGTTCCACACCCAGCTGGACCAGCTTCTCACGTAGACTGCAGTTCTCAAGCTGGAGGGCCTCCAGCTGGCGGCTGCCCCCAGAACTCTCCTGCTGCCCACACGTTATATTATTGCTACATAAGATTGACTTTGACAGAAGAGAATTTTTTTTTTTTCAGGAACTCGTGTGACACTACCTTAATGGGGCCATGACGCCCAATATTCACTCGTAATCTAAGTTATGTGCGTTGATCCTTCGGTGTTCACGAATGAGCTGGCAAAATTTTCGCGCATTTGGTCTAGCACTTCATTTATAATGATTCGTAAACACAGGAGCGACCCGAGAGCCAAACAATACTAGTGCACTCACGAGCTGTGACATAACTTCAAGCTGCCTGTTTTGCAAGCGTCTGTATTCCAGTCAACAATTTTGCTTCGTGCTCAGCTGCACGTACAATGCCGCTATTAGAGCTTTTTTTTTCAGCTTGGCATTGAAAGCTACGATTTGCAGAAGCTGGAACTCAAAAAGAAGATGACAGCTCTACTCCGTGAAGCTCATGACACCACACAGGCCATTGCAATATGGTGGTCGCAGGCAGTGAGAACGGCTTATAGCCAGCGACTTTTAGGGCTCATTTTGCAATGAAATCTTCTTTCACAGATCATTTTTCATGCATGTACAGGCACAATAGAGCCCCTACTTCAGCTTTTTGCTTAAAACGGCGATTTGGTGAATGACCATGTCATGGCCCCTTTAATGAAAACCAATGGACAATGAGGCCAAGGAAGGTATAGGGGCTAGCGCAAAGTGACGGGGCCCCACCTTGAGATGCTTGATCTCCATGCGCAAAGTGGCAATCTCGGCCTTCTTGCTCTCAGCATTGCGCACCAACTCGGAGACCTGCTGCTCCAGCAAGCTCTTCTCCCGCTCCAGTTGCAGGATAGTCGTGGGAGACGCCTTGCCTGCACTTTCCGATGTCTGGGTACCCACTGTGGGCTGCCCCAGCCCTGAAATACATAACAGAGGCCTCAGGAAAAAGTTGGCCATTGACTGGGGCCCTTTAGAGGGCACCTGTGCCTAGGATGGCCAGGAATAGAACTTGCTACCTCAGCACAGTATGTGCCAGCCAAAATGTATTTGTATAAAGGACAAGATTTACAACTGAGAATGGCATAAGATTAGGAGGCGTATGAGAAGTGCTGTAGGCACTGCATCTATGGCTTACACATGAAAAAAAAAATTGGACATCACAAAAGTGACATTTGTTCAGCAGGTAACAAAGATTAGGTTTATGATGATGAGCTATGTAAACTTCAATCACTGGGAATGCAAAACACTATAACCTACAAGTGCTGCACATACTTCACTGCTAATAACTGTTGGGGCTTTACAACCAAAAGCTCCAATGATTATGAGTTGCTCTGGTGGACGGCTCCAAAAATTTTGACCACTTGGTATTTTGTAAGGTGCACTTAAATTAACTGCACAGGTCTTTAGCGTTTCACCTTTCTTGAAATGTGGCCACCACGACCCAGATTCGTTCTTACGACCAACAAGCCAGCAGTGAAGCATCCAACCACGACACTACCACAGTGGGCCGTACTTCACGGTTGAATATCAACACTGATCCTTATTTTCGGTGGCTAGAAAACTCAGTAGTCAGAAAAGCTGTGAGAGACTACCTTCACAAGGTTAACGTAGTGCTCACCAGAATGAGGCTTCTTGTGCTCTTTCGTCTGGCCATTGGAGTCCAGGCTATCTTTGCTCGAGGATGATTTGATGCTGCCACACTTTCGAGCGCCCGAGCTACCTCGAGACAGCATGTTCTCCTTGTTCACTGGGTCAGAACGCCTGCAAGGCACAGAAAAGAAAGAAATTATTAAGAAAAGGGCCAGCAAGACCATTGCAGAAGCAGGCACCCAACACACTGCATTGCTGGCCACTTCCTTCTCACTGCATCAACCTGTATTACACGGCATAAGCAAACTTAAGCGAAAATGCAGAGATTTCGCTTTTTTTCTTCTTTCACTTTTCGGGAGGTGACATCTGTTGTATGTTATGGTACAAACCCTTGATACATGAACCGTCAAATAAGTTTCTGGTGATGCGCAATCCTGGTGACCCTTTAACATGAAAAAATTGCCCAGAAAGAAAAAGCATGCCGCACACATGGGCACATTGTTAAAAAATCAAGTCATTTCCCCACCCCCATGTAAAACATGTTCTGGTACAAACTAGATCAAGAAATGTGGTGTCCACATGAGATTTAAGTACTGATAATAAGATATCTGCTGAGATACAGATGCGGGTCAGAAACAAATGCGACCCACAGAGCATCATCACCCAGATATAACAATTTGAAGAACGCTTCAGATTCACATTTAAAAGTGAAAAGCGAATGCATTTCAGGCCCCGTCGACATCGTTTTTTCAATCGCTTGCCATGCTTCGCTTCTTGCTGGATACATCAGCCCTGCCGTGAGGGAAAGAACATCTGTGGGCGCAACATTAGCCCTGTAAAAGCTCCTGGTACGCATATTATAGGTACAGTTACAAAGTACCCACCAACGCCGTTATTTACCATACTTCCAAATGGCAAAGTACCCACGATGAGTAAGCAAGGCAATTTTCTCACCTTTGCTGATGCTGTGGCTGCTGACGATGATACTGATGCATTACGGCTGTGCCCTTTGTAAAGGACGAGCAGCTTTCAACCACTCGCACACTAAACGATTTGCATGCTGCAACTCCTGATTTGATTATAAGCTTCTGCCATGCAATATTATGTCTGTTGACATGGCTCCTCACCTGGCATGGCACGACATGATAACCATATAGGGCTCATTTCTGAAGTAGTCACCTTGACCAATACTTCACCATCCCGTAGTATGCGTGGATTCGATTTCGGTTTGAACTTTGATTATAGTTCTTTGCATCCACCAGGATTTTTAACTTGCCAATAACATCGACACTGCCTATTCTATTGACATTGGATTTTCTGTGACATGGGGTTCATGACACCGCTGCCACATGGCCACTTCTGATCAAAATGAGGGCCAATCCAGATCAGTGCTCATGATCACGATCAAAAACCTAGTTGCAGCTACCCAGTCCAGCCTAATTTGGATTATAGGTTTGGCACAGACATTAGCCAATTGACATTCACGAAGCCAGATAGCAATGTGCAGATCACAATAAACAGATTGCAATCCTCTTGATACCAATGTAGCTTCATTGCGATTAAAAATGTGGGTTACAACAACTCATCTGGATCAACCCTAATCTAGGACAGTCCTGATTTAAAACGCACATGTGACACCAGTATAATACTATCACATTAAATTATAAAGATATGAGGTCTCAATGTGGCGAGAGAGTGCCACGTCACGCTTTTGGAGTGAACGGACACAGCAGAAGCGGTCGCTACAAACCAAACAACAACATAGATTAATTTAACTAATTTAGAACGACGATATCGTCAGCCAAATAATTAATTATAACATGAATCGTGATCAACCCGCTAGAACATCCTTACACAATATTACCATACACTCCAAAACATGACAAACACATAACCCACCCAAGATGGCATCGCTGACGCTTGACTTACCACGTAGGCCCCTGACCCGCAACCCACGGTGACAGGGACCCGCGGTGACTGGGGACCCCTGCTAGAGACAACCATTCGCGGCCACCGCCACGCGCAGAAGAGAGCTTATTTCTCGTGCGCCGCCAGCAAGCCTGGCCCACCGCCAGGGGCCACTGCCCGCGCTACTACTGTAACAACCATGATGATGATGATAGTGGTGATTACTGCTCGCGTACACGCCACCTATCGCTCAATAGCCGTGACCCTAAAACACAGCTTCTGCGCAAGACACGTGCACCACGCGGCGCAAACAACTTTACAGGAGAGCGTCTGTACGTTTACAAGGTTTACTTTGAGCAGCTTTTTATAGCAAAGTGCCACGCAAAAAAAAACAAGCTACTTACGTAGTAGACATGGGCCGGTTTGTGCGCGTACGTGCTGCACCCGTTGTGCTGGCAGTACGGGAGGAGTCCTTCTTGAGAGGTGCAAAGATGCTTTCCTGACCAGCACGGCTTCTCTGCTGCAGGGCACTCAGCCCCTGGGGCAGGGCACTGTTGCCCGCTGACCGCAGGGTGCCGCCCACTGTGCGCCCAGCATTGCGCATCATCGAGCCACCTCCCACTCAGAACGCCGCAGCACTGCAAGTGATCAGCTTACATTTTGACATGCAGCACAGGGAAGAACTTGGTACATTAGTATATGCAAATGGGAAAATGAAAGGTCTGTAAAAAGTTCTTAGTGTACACAGCAAAGCCGAAAGCAACACAAGTGGCAATCGTACGGAGTCCGCAATTTCTCCACAAGCTGACCATAGAGAGTCAGAGACTACAAATGTTCCCTATATGTGCACACATTTGGCAGGACCTCACTGTATTGAAACTGTGCATTATCTGTAAATTAATGCTAGCACTGATAAAATACTGTTCATAACATTAGGCTCTAACACCATTTAATTAAATAGGTTGCAAAGGTGACACCTTCAATGATACGAGGTTAGCCATCCACTATACTAAAACTATGGTACACCGTGGTTCATGCATGAGCCAGTGTTAAACATAAATGAGCACAATTTGTCATCAAAATTTAGAGCCTATGCATGTGCCCATTGCATTAGAAAACCACACTGACAGGCCACACCACGGTGCATGTTGTTTTAACCTGCTATATGTCAATACAGGCATACAGGCAAACGAGTTGACAGGACAGAACAGGCACTCATGATGGTATCTTGACCCTGCTGTAAGTCGGAATTAGTTTGGTTAGCATAGAATTGGTTTCGAACACATGTTATAGTAGACAAATATTGCATGTGTGCCACATGAATGCAACTATCATAACTACGAGAATAGTGATGAAAAGCCATTGAACAAGGAATGTCGTTGGAAGCAGCGTTTTGGATTCAACAGAGCGGCCACTGCTTTACATGACAGTGTTAAAGAATGCTGTTTGAGAAGACAGTAACAAAAACAAGTCCTGACAAAAACTTGTTGAAATGTTGGCTTCAGCTACACCTCCTGTTCGATGTTTGTTCATCACTTCAAGCCTCCATCTTCCCCTCATCACTTCAAGCCTCCATCTTCCCCTGAAATTCAGCTTTGTTCTGACAGTAATAGTAAGAAATTTATCTCGGGCAAACAGTCTCATGTGACTTAATATTTTACCTATGCAGTGAGAAATAAGTGAGCAATGAAACATTTTTCTTACTTTATCTCTTCATAGTAGTAATTTTTTATCTTTTTTCGTTGTAAATTTTTCGTAATAGGTTAGCAATCATTATACTTGGGGACAACTTTCTGTGGCAATGAAGGGAAGGCTACGTGGGCGAAGCTACTGCTCCTGTACTCCTCAGCGAAGTAGTCTGGTTCCGCTCACGTTTCGACTGACGGCCCCGTTCATCTAAACACCGGCGCACAATAATTTTATGCGTGCTTACACAGCCATTTTGACACGAGCTCCTTCGGCTAGTCGTCGGAATAGCTGGAGGGCGACGCACGCTAACCTAAAGACAAAGACCCCATTTTGACTGTGAGGTGAAAGCAAAACGTGCGAGGTTTCCGTACGTGCAAAAACGGAAGTGACCCTTGAGAAAGCAACAACAAATAATGGCATCTCCTCAGCGCTTGCAGCGTTCTCTTTATAGACAGCATCTAGTGCTATTCCTTTTATTACCTTCACGTGAAAAACTTGGACGCATTTGTGGCACTATACTCTACAGCAGTGGCACATGCCCACTTTGGCTCCATAGCCTTCCCTTCATTGCCACAGAAAGTTGTCCCCGAGTATAGTGTAGTTATCATTCATATGCTACAGCGAGTTTTCTTGGCCAATGTCGTAAAGTGGGTATGTGCCAGAGTTGACAGGCCACAAAAAAGTTCTAGGACACTATTGCAGGCAAATTTCCCTACAGCTAAGGTCACTACCATCGTCATTACAGACATGGGGTTCAAGCAATAACTTCACGCTGTGAAGTTTTTCCACATGTTTCCTTGCTTCAATAAATCTCCCTATCAAAACACAATGGGCTCTTGCACTGGTCAGAGTACAGCAATGTAGTTTCAATAAATTTCCTGCAGTATGAGAACCTTCCCAGTGCATAAGCCACATCTTGAGAAGCAACATATTTGCTTTATACCCCATTTGAAAACATTCTCAGCTAAAAGCAAAAATGCATTTGGCCTCATAATGCCTCGCCCCTAGAATAAGGTGCAAAAGGCCAGGACTGCATTAAGCAAGCTTTTTAAGTAGTATCAAGCCAGTTCATTCTCAATACCTTAATAATAATCATTGGGGTTTAGCATCCTAAAACCATGATATGATTATGAGGGACACCATAACAGAGGACTCCAGAATTTCGACCACCAGGGGGTTCTTTAATGTGCACCTAAACCTAAGTAAACGAATCTGCACAATATTCACCAGCATCAAAAATGTAGATGCTGCAACCTTCGGGTCAGCAGTCAAGCACCACTTCTTAATTTCCTAGGTGTAGGCGTGTGCACAATAGAAAAAAAATGATTTTCACAGCCGATGATGCATCATCTACAGTGAAAACCTGGTTAATGCTGCCCAAGACATCTCAAAATGATGCTGTGGGCAACCACACAATAAACCTGTGCAATATTCTCCTTACAGCGCATGTGCCCATCTGGTCACGGGTGCCCCCATCTTTTCAGGATTGCAGTATGCTTTAGCTCATTCTCTAATACTGAGTGAAGGAAAGAAGTGTACATTTAAAAGCTAGTTTTTTTAGCTAGACACAATATTGATGAGATTCAGTAAAACCGAAAGTTGGGCGAGTTGGTGATAGTTCATGGTTACAAATAAGCAGCGCACGACGTTTTACAAAAGAGAGACGATAGGGACACCGCTGCACTCTCAACTAGTTTATTTCGTAAAAGACCTTGGTTATTATACAACAAGACGGTGTACCACGTGCTACAATGACAACGTATTTTCTAAAAAGCCAACTTCGCAATCGCTCAAAGTAATCGATGCTTGGCTTATACAGTAATCTTTTCTTTTTGCGATGTGGAAGGCCTCGATCACTTCCCTTGTCATCTTATCTCTGTGGCTGGCAAGAATTTTAGTCTCAGAGAACAGCGGGGAGCAGCCACATTCCAAGCAATGCCGTCTTAAGTGCGAGTAGGCATTATTAGCTAATGCTCTCTTGTGCTCCGTTAACCTTGTATTTATGCACCGGCCCGTTTGACCGATGTACATTTTCCCACATGACATGAGCAAACAGTAAACCACCGCGGTTCTGCACTCAACAAATGAAACAATGTGCTTAACAGAGCACCGACACCTATCCTTTTTTGTCAATCGCTTTCTATCTAGCCTAGCGCATATCTTTCCTAGTTTGTTAGGTGCAGAAAAAACAACTTGTAATCCATACCGGCTGCCTACATTCTTTAGATTATGTGATATACTGTGCGCATAGGGTATGGAGACACATTTCTTTTTCTTTTCTTCATAATTCCTCTCAATTTGAGGCTGCTCCAAAGATATATTCTTGCGCACAAAATGAACCAACTTCTGTGCGGTTCTGCGCAGAACATGCTCTTCGTAACCCGCACTAGCCAATCTATCTACTTGTCTGATGAAGCTATCATTAACTTTGTGGGGACAAGATTTGGCCAAGGCAGCGCGGAGACAAGAGAAGGCTATGCCATTCTTAACTGTCTTTGAATGCCCGGAAGAATAGCTGAGCAGGGGCTTCTCAGATCGTGGGCTATATAACCAGCAAACATGGTCTGGCTTACGTGATAACAATAAGTCCAAGAACTGAAGCTGACCTTCCCGTGGCACTTCCCACGTAAACTCTAGGCCTTCGCTGCAGTCCCTGAAAACATTTAAGATATCTACTATAGCCCTGTCAAGTACAGTGTGTTCTACAAAAATTAGGTAATCGTCAACATATCTAAATATGGTCTTTGCAAGGCCCTTTATGTTGGCTTCAATTTTTTTGTTCACGTAACCCAAGAAAATGTTGCTAAGTATCGGGGCCACCTTCGAACCAATGCATATTCCCGATCTTTGTAGGTACAACTCATCATGCCATTTGATGAAAGTAGACCTTAAGTAAAAAGACAATAATTCGAGGAAAGCTCCTACTGAAATGCCGCATTTGTTAACAAATTCGATTTCATCATTATCATCAGTAATGCACTTTCTAACAACTGTCAATAAAGGACCATGTGGAATGTTGTAGTACAAATCCTGAACATCAACACTAAAAAAATTGCAAGTACCAGGGTTTGAGGTTGTCAAGAAGGCAACCAACGCCTCCGAGTTCGGTACACAGAAAGGATCCGATACCTTAAGGCTAACTAGCTGCTCTTGAAGAAAGGTAGAAAGATTAAGTTGCCAAGAGTCCCTTTCCGATACAATACACCTAAACGGAACGTCAGGCTTGTGAGTTTTTGCTGCAAAAAACAACTCCAGGTGCAAATTTATCGCACGTTTCACAGTAGAAGCAAGCTTTTCCAGACTGTGGTTCAAAAGTAGCGCGACAGCTTCTTCCTTGACTTTGCTAGCTTTCTTGTTAACAGGAACAAAATTCTTTTTAACTGCCGATAACGCCTTTGTTTGGAAAAGCCCATCAGGTAAAATAACAAAGCAACCCTCCTTGTCAGAGGTCAGAAAACGCAAATTGTTGCTAATGCCAAAGTCCACCAAAGTCCTTACGTGCTGTTGCTTCCCGCTTGTGGTTGACGTCCTCTTTAGAACATCCACACATTCCGTGATGAAGCGTGGGCGCTCTTCTTCTAACACACGACGAGCAAGGTTCTTGGTGAGCGCCACTTTCTCCGGTGGGGTAAAGGACGGTTCAAAGCAGAACTTTGGTCCTAATCCGAGAATCTTCTTGTAGTCTTTAGGAATGGCACAGTCTCCCAAGGTGATGACTTTTCCATCCGTTGGCTTGGGTTTTTTTGGCCTAGGTAAGTGTGGCCGGCTGTTGTCCCATAACCAGTCCGCTACTTTGTCAGACGTTTGACACCAATCCCTGAAGAACTTGTTGTGCGATCCTCCCTGTTGTGTGGCGCACACTACTCTGAGACAATCCTTGAAATGCCTCGCTTGCCGCCACCATTCCTCATTCAACCTTCGTCTAAGCACGCCAAACGTATATGCAGGA